CCTCAACTCCCTCAACTAAGTTGCGCTCTCACCGTGCGGCTCCCCGGGCTCCCCCGCGGGCCGAGCCGGAGCAGCTCCGCGCCTTGGCGGCGGCGAAGGACAATAGGCGGCCGCTCCCTCGGCGGCGGCTGGGGCGAGGAGCAAGCACCGCGGTGTCGACCGAGTCCAAACACTTAGCAGCGGCTCCTCCGGCTCCGCGACCGCCCTGCACACAGTCCGGCCCACCCGCGCATGCGCTGCCTGCGGACCGGGAGTAGGCGGGGCAATCGGCCAAGCTTCGGAATTGCGGTTGGACAACTCGGTTGCCCGTCAGGATGTGTGAGTCCAATAGGAAGGCTTCCTAGCTGTTGGCTCCGGTTGCTAAGGAACGATGAGGCTGTACGCTACGGCTGCCAGGCGGCAAAGTGATCAAAGTCGGGTGGCTGGCAACAGCTGCTGGGGAAATGCCCACCCACCTTCTCCTATCCGCCCCATCTCCGGAAGCCGCCCTTCCTCCGTGCGCCTGGTGCTTACCTAAGTTGGAACACTCACCACCCACTGACAGAATCTACTCTTGTGTTTCAATTCCAACCAAGAAATGGGGTTTTCTTAGTGTCCAAGGTGGAGTAACGCTAGGTACTTAACAAGTTCGTTGAATGGGGTGAATGGCCGGTTGACGGGATGAAGATTATCACAGTGTATCTTGTGACTGAGCTACTCGATCACCACAAAACCACTGGCTTTGAGTTGCTAAGGACTTCAAGAAATCATCTAGTGGCTTCGGAGAAACAAAATATGGGCATGTGCCCAATGATGACCCAAGAGATTAAATTAATTGGTACAAGAAGAAACTTCTCTCTCTAATAGTTACATATTGTAATATGTTATTAGGGGAAAACGCGCCTATCATGCCCAACTGTTTTGACAGATGTTATTTCTTTGGTCAATAGAAAGTTGAAGACGGCCTGGGGATATAAATATTAAGCTAGAAATGTGAGGTTTTCTGTGCAGCTCAAATTGATTTATATTGATTGAAGTAAGAAGGGTGGTTATCTAGGGGGAGAAAGGTATTGACTGAGGAGGAACAGGACAGAAATCCTGCAGTACTGGTTCTGTATTTTGAGCTAAGTTATACAAACTTATAAATATGAAAATGTCATGTAGCTATACCCCTAAGATGCATGGCCCTTTGGAGGGTGGGGCATATGAGGAAGGAGATATTGACAGTTGATTGCTGCTAGGGAAGGGAGAGTCAGTTTCCTTTAAGGCTCGGAACCCCTTTGGTCAGCCATGCCTCGGTGCGTAGCCTCACACCCGTGCGTATAGGGGCAACACAAATTGAACACGGCGAATTATAATGTTTTAAAGAAAACAAAAGAATAAGAAGTTGAGAAGAATGGTGAATATGTTCAAAATATACTGTATGAATGTATGAAATTTTCAGAGAATTATATGAAAAGATTAATCTCATTACTAAAGTCATTTTTTTAATTGCTAGTACAAGACACAGACCTGAAAAAAATGAAAATCACTGCCATTGGGAAGTTTTAGTTCAGGCAAGCCCACCACCAGCACCCACCTACCTAACAGAGGATATTATGGGTACTCAATGGCTGTACCAGACATTTCTCTTGCTACATGGTGCTTTCATTCTTTCAAAATGCTTTTTAAATTGAAAAACTTCATACAATATATTTTGATCTTGTTTTCCTCTCCCCCAATTTGTCCTATATCCTCCCCACCTCACCACACACCCAACTTTATTGTTGTAAAAAAAAATTAATTCAGAGACTTTTCCCACATAACTTTATGTTCTTTTTTCTCTTTCTTTCAAAAACAAAAACAAAACTTAAGAAACACAAAAATGGAAATCAAACCATCAAAACACAGATAAGAGTTCCCCTCCCCCAGAAAAAGTCAAAACAAAGCAAAATGGGAGCCCATGACCACTTCCCCCTCTCAGTGCTTGGACTTCATCCAGCTCAAACCTGTGCAAATTTTGTGTGTGCTGCCATAGTCTGCATGATTTCATACGTACCTCAGTCTATTGTTCCTGGGAGTCATTGTTTCCTCGGAGTCATCCCTCACCTCCGACTCTTAATGCTTCTGCCTCCTCTTCCTCATACCTCCCTGAGCCTTGTGGGGAGGGGTTTGATCCAAACCATTTAGGACGGAATGCCCCAATGTCTGTCACCTTCTCCACATTGTGCACTTGTGGATCTCTTTGTTAACTCCTAGCTACTACAAGAAGAAGCTTCTCTGATGTGGATTGGATCGGGGTACTGATCTATAGGTATGGCTAGATGTTATTAGGAGTCATTTTATTGCTATGTTCCTTTATTAGAATAATAACAGTACGTTTACCCTAGGTCCATGACATACCAGTTAGAAATTCTTAGCCACGTTGGCAGTGTAGGTATGAGTTCCATCTCATGGAACCACAAAGTGGTTCGTTACTCCCATAACATTTGTGCCACTATTGAACTCATATTGAACATATTGAACATATTGAACTCATGCAGGCAGGTCACTGTTCACAGGTTTGTAGCTCAGAAATATTGATGATTACCTTTTTCTTATGGTATTATGCATACCTTCTAGTACCATGATGGCTAATCAATAAAGGTGAAGCTTCTAATTAGGCACTAGCTTCACTCTTTCGTGTTTGATGATAGAAGTAAATGTTACCTTCATCAATAGATTCTTACTATCAGGTTATGGAAAATAATCAGTAGCGTTGGAAATAGTCTGTGAAGTTTGGGGATTTCCACGGGGCCTCTTTGACCAACAGTTCAACAAGATATCACCATTCCTGGCACTGGAGGTTTTACTTGGTGGCATAAGATGTCTCGTTGCCCCTCTATTATTTGGTAACTCCATTTAGATTCTTTACAAACATGTACGTGTTTTAGGAAGCTTCTACAGTAGTAGGTTTCCACATTGGTCTCCAAAAGTCATTTGGTATTAGTTGTCCCTCACTATAGTCCTCCTTTACCCTTTTCTCTCTTCCCCTCCCAATTTAATCCTCCTAGCTTCCCCTTTGTCTCTTCATAACAATATATTCTATCTCTCCTTCTTTGGGAGAGCCTCCCCTTCCCCCAGCCTCTTACTTAGTATCTAACCTCTGGGGTTATTTGGATTATAGCATACATATTGAAAGCTTAAAAGCTAACATCTGTATATGAGAGAAAACATACAGTATTTATCTTTTGCGATCTCTCTTGAAATGACTTTTTCTAGCTCTATCCATTTACCTGAGAATTTTATGATTTTTAAGAGCTGAATAATATTCCAGTGTGTAAATGGATCACATTTTCATCATCCTTTCATCGGCTATTGGACATCTAAGGTGTTTCCACTTTCTAGCTATTAAGACTAGAACAGCAATGAACATGAATGAGCAAGTATTTCTGTATTTTGGGCATATACATATGGTTTAGCTTGATCTTGAGGTAGATAACTTCCAAGGAAACTACCACACTGATTTCCAGAGTGGCTAGACAAGTTTGCACTTGCACCAGCAATAAATAAGTGTTACTCTTTCCCTGTGTCATTGACAGCATGAGCTTTATTTTATTGATCTTGGCTGTTCTGACTGGTATAAGACGAAATCTCAAAGTACATTTAATTTGCATTTCCCTGATGACTAAGGATGTTGAACAAGTCTTTAAAGGCATATCAGCCATTTGTGTTTCATTTTTTGAAGGCTCTCTGCTTAGTTCTGTACCCCACTTTTGAACTGGCTTATGTGTTTTCTTGATATTCAGTTTTTTTATTTATATATTCTAGATATTAGCTCTCCATCAGATGTATAATTGGTAAATTAGATGTCTAATCTAATTTAGATTGTCTAAATTAGATTATCTAATCTAAAGATCTTTTGCCATTCTATAGGCTGCTGCTTTGCCCAAATGATAGTGTCCTTTACCATATAGAAGTTTCTCAACTTTGTGAGGTCACATTTATTATTAATTGGCCTTAATGCCTGTGCTATCAGTGTTCTGTTCAGAAAGTCTTCCTCTGTGCCCATGAGTTCAAGGCTATCTCTCCATTTTCTCTTCTTTCAGAGTCAGGATATCATATCTTATATTGAGGTTCTTGATCCATTTGGAATTTTCTGCAGAGTGATAGATAGGGATCTATTTTCATTCTTCTGTAAGCAGTCATCCAGTTTGACTGGCACCGTCTGTTGAAGATGCTATCTTACTCCAGTGTACACTATATATTCAACACAACATCCATCAAAATTCTAATACAGTTCTTCACAGAAATTGAAAATAAGAATCTTCAACTTTGTATGGAAACACAAAAACTCAGAATATCAAAAACAAACTTGAATTTATTCTTTTTATTAAGAATTGCTATAGTAGAGTAGCCCTTTTCACAATGTTAATCCTACTGATCCATGAGTATGAGAGATTGTTCCATCTTCTGATGTCCTCTTCAATTTCATTCTTCAATGCCTTAGAGTTTTTATTATACAAGTCTTTCACTTTCTTGGTGAGAGCTATCCTAGGATCTCTATTTGTCTTTTAGTCACTTTGACTAATGCTTTTGTCAATTGTATTGATTTTCTTCAAACTCCAAGAACCAATTCTTTGTTTCATTGATTCTTTGTATTTTGTTTTGTTTCTAGCTCAGTGACTTAAGCCCTGAATTTTTTCTTATATTCTTTTGGAGTATTAATTCTTCTTGTTATAGAAATTCCAGGTGTGCTGCAAGTTACAAATATGAGAAAAGTAGGCACTTAGTGCTGTGAACTTGCCTCTTAGAACTGTCTTCCTTGTGTCTCATAGGTTTGGTTATGTTGTATCTTTGTTTTCATTCAAGTCACAAAATGTTTTCATTTCCAGCTGATTTCTGTCTTGACCCATTTTTCATTCTGCAGTGAGTTGTTTAGTTTCCTTGACTTTGTATCATTTCTGCTGTCATTGATATCCAATCCAATTCATGGTGATCAAATAGAATACAGGGTGTTATTAAATTTTTTTTGTACTTGTTATTAAAAAATTTTTTTGGAGAAAGCTCCATGGGCTTCTGAGAAGAAAATATATTCTTCAGTGTTTGGGTGCAATGTTCTGTGGACATCTGCTAGGTCCATTTGATTTATGATATTACTTAACTCCAGCATTCCTCTGTGTAGTTTTGTCTGGATGACCTGTTTATTGGCAAGAGTAAGGTATTGAATTCATCCACTATCCTTGTGTGAGGGTCAATATGTGATTTTAGCTGTAGT